ATTAGCCTATAGTAATATGCATCAATTGATCTATAGAACAGTAATTCTAACTCGAAGTGAATTAGATAAATAACTGACAACAATGATTTTGATGCAAATTTTCTTTAACTTGCTGTACCATTTTTTATAGTTAATCTATTTGTATCATATCACTCAACTACATTTTTATACTACATGTATCTTGCAGTGAGTCTACATCAATTTAATTTGCATCATCTATCTTTTGTGATGTTTTTTAAAGTCATACACTAGCTCGAAACATTATTCGAACATCAATAACTTTATCCTGCAAAAGAAATTTAAGATAAAGAAAGAATTTTACATTAATTTTATTAGTACCATTCGACAATTCGAAGTCTATTTCCTCATTCATATTGAAAAAGAGAAAATTCTACTTGTGCTTTCGTGATTTTTATTTACTTTTCTGAAAAAAACCTTAATTTTTAAAGAAAAATGTTACTGCTTGTTTTTTCTGAGAAATGAAGTTTTTATTCGAAGAATTCATCTTTTGTTTACAGTAAACATTTTGGAAAACACGTACATCATTTCGCAGACAAGAAACTGTTTTATATATGATAGTATGCAGGGGTGGCGCGAGTCAACCAACATTGGGGGGGTGTAGCGAAATTTTTTGGACTAGAAAGACGAAGTCTGCAATTTTTCGGGGGGTGTCACATTGTTTTTGGTGACAATTGGAAGAAAAGTTCCTGATTTTGTTTAGCAAAAAAACAGAAATTTTTGAAGATTGGGGGGGTGTCGCACCCCCGACTACCCCCCGGTCGCGCCACCCCTGATAGTATGATTTAGAATAGCATCATAAATTTTTGATGAAGCTACGAAAAAAAAGATAACCATATCAACATGTTTCTCAAATACCATAGGAATTGTTGTTATGGGTATTTTGAAATTTTCATAGTTTTATCAAAAAAGTTTTTTTTATTCTATTTTAAACCATACCATCATGTAGATTGATTTTTCGTCTATTGAATTAGATATTTCTCAACATGTTCCGATGTAAAATAAAGATGCAATTTTTAAAAAAAGCTTCATTTATAAAAAAAAACAACAGTTTTTTTTTCTTCCAAAGCCAAGATTTTTTTTTCAAGTAAATAATTATAAATCTAGAAAGCTTAGGTAGAATTTTCTTGTTTCTCATATGAATAAAGAAACGAACTTAGAATCATCGAATGGTATTAATAAATTTAACACAAAATTCTTTATTTACCTTAAATTTCTTTTGTACGATGTTCCTCATATTTGTTCAAATCATTTTTTGAGCTAATTAGTATATCTCTTGCGTCTCCGAATGATGTCATCGACAATTGGTCTATGTACTTGACCACATTCATTTGAATCGATGATGTCAACAAAACAATAAATGTTAATCAAATGATATCAATATTCGCACTAATAAATAATTCTTTTTTAGAAATGAAAATAAAAATAAAAAGTTGTGCTTACTCTATAATTAGTTTTGAAATGAATTTAAAATAGAAATCAAATGAACTGCTTTTTATGAATTTTCAAATATTCAGACATTAAAAAAAAACAATATATTTATGAGAATGTTGATGCCGTTACCTATTGATATACTTCAAAATGTACGTAGTAGTAAACAAACTAAATGAATAGAAAACGAAACAAACTGTTTCATATATAAAGCTAAAATAAACAACAATGGATACATTCATTTTGCTGGCTTATGATAGAGATGTCCATTGCGGTGCCATCGCTATCCCACGGTGCCAGTAGTAGATTTTTAAAGCAATGATCGCGACAACTTTCTTCGTAGAAGAAATTGCAAAAATGTATGAATTTGAACGAAAATTCAGTTTTCATAAATGTAATACTCTAAGACTCGAGTAATTTCATGGACTAGTAACAACAGTTGTAGTTCAATACAGTTACAGCAGTGATATTCAAAATATTGTTTTAAATAGTATCGTGGTGCACAAGATTTTCTTTTTACTATCGTTATGACGCAGCAGCAATAAACTTTCAGTTGCGACGGATATCTCTAGTTGATAACTTTTTTTTATATGGATGAATGCTTTTCATACTTGATGAATTTTAATATGAGCAATTTTCATATTTATACTATTGTTTCATTAAGCAAAGTGGCATCATTGATATTTTTTCTAGAATGTAATTTTAAAAAAATAACAAGACATATATATCAAAATATTGTTAAATTTTACTGTTTGTTGAGATTTTTTCATTTTTGTTTTATTAAACAAAGTATCAACATCTACATTACCATTCAATGTCACGCACGTTTTTATTTTTATTTATTGAAAAGTTTTCTTCTATGTAAATTAGAAGAAAGCATGATAGTGTTATATCTTATACTTTGATACGGAGAAAGAAAATTAGAAGAATGAGCAGAGTCTTCAATATTGTTTTTTTTTTAATTTTCTACTGAGTAGTAATAACCATCTGTTGTTTTAAATTTGGCAGAAAAACTCATTAAACATAGGGATGAATTTCAAATTGATTTCCTTCTTTTAAAGTTAAATAAAAAACAGAGTTTACTATATAAAAGCAACATCATTTACATTACTTTCTATCGACTTTTTTTTGTTGAAGAGGTAAGACTTTTAGAATAAATATAGTGTCTTTTTACTCTCCTAATCATTATCATGCATTGGACAATCGCATTTTTGTTTGCAACCTATTTGATGACAGTTCATTCACAAACATGGGAAGGAACTTTTGTAGCTGATCCAGGATGCGACACTAGTCGATGTTGCTGTTTGAACGAACCAATTGTAATAACTCGTCCTTCACCAACTACAGTATCTTTCGGTACAACTTTAACTGGTAGATGTTTTGGGATGAACGGTTATAGCGGTACTACTGATTATCCAACTAGTTATACAATATCAGTGGTAAATACTCTCGTTACCTTAACAATTACATTAAGTAGCGATAGTAACCATGTCAGTATTAGTAATACGTTCGATCCGTCATGCGTTATATCAAGTACTCGTACTGTCGTCACTGATCCACCTACTGGTACTACTATCGCAAGTATCACTAATGTTCCTGGCAGCAACGCTGTTCGAAAATATATTAACATTATAACATTGCTTAATTTAGCTTTTTGTTATGTGTTGTAATAAGTATTCAAATACTATGAATTAAATTTTATTTTAATAAATCGAGTTTGCATTCATTGAATACTGTTCGATAACACACTACATGACATCTCGTAGTTTTCAACAATGGATAAGTAATAAAGATAAACAATAATGTGCAGTGCACTATGATGACATTGTAATATTTTCAATTTCGAAGAAAAAGAAAGATAGCACTCTTCTGATCTGACTGAAAGGCGAAGAACGTAGTAACGATTACAAATGGAACCAAAAGATTAGTTGAATGGTAGAAAAATTTGATCTTAAAGTTAATAATTAATTCTCTAATTAGAAATTCGAAAAATTGTGTTGATATTATTTAGATGAAGAGAATTTTAATAGGATCTCAACCTTAGATATTTTTCTAAATTTTTTCAGTTTAATGTTAAAATTCACTTATGAAGGTATCGATCTATAATGATTACAGATATGCTTTAGCTGTATTACAGCCTATATCATTTATTCGTTAGCAATCGATCAGTTTCCTTATATTCACTTCACTACTTTCTCTAGCATATGGAGAAGTGGATTTATACTATTATTTCTATCATTGCATCAACAGTAAATGCTGTTATTGTTACAAATGCAAAGTTAATAATAAAAGCAGTCAAAGATTCTCCAACAAGATCAATCATATTATGGCAAGCCGCAATACAGCTATTATGATGAATTTGGTTTTCATACTTATGAAACACTAGTGATATGTGCATCATGTGGAAACTTTGAGGATATTATAAGGAACATGAGCTCTATTTTCGGATAAAGTTTTAGATTCAAATTCGTTAGTTCAGTTTTCTTCGTTATATCCTGGAAAGCGTTGAAAAATTCACTAAAATGACCATAACTCAAGAAAGTACTTATGGTACTGATCCATTTAGGACATTTATCTGCACCACGGATTCTAACAATCAGCAAAATATGAGCTCGAACGGAGTTCTCATAAGCTGGAAGAGTTTGCTCGTAAAAGAAGAAAACAATTTCTCGTTCTTCTTTCCTTTCTCTTGTTGTCGTTGAAAAATTTAAGAAATTATTATGCATGGTACAATAATTTTTTTTTTAATTATCTTGATGGAGAATGTTTTTCTACACAACATCATATTTGGTCTTTTGAAATGTCTTAAAACAATTAAGATTGAAATTAATAAACTAATCAATTCGACCTGTTTCGTTTTGCTTGGATTTCTGAGCAAACAATATCATTGTATCTTTTGTAAAAATCATGAAGTTTGACATTGATTTACAGTTTCTTTGAAAAGAGAAACAAAATTTGAGTGTGTGGGAAGTATAAGTGATTGAAAACGGACTTCTCCAATTTCCGAATCCAACAAACATGAGAAAAAGTAAACTTTTAATAATGTGTCAACAATCTAACGAAAATAGCATAGTAAAATATGTATTTTTTACTATTACGTTTTTACTCAAGATACTTAACGCATCGTTATGCTCTGGATATTTTTCATGGATCTTAGCTGCTTGAAGCAGAGTGCATATCAGTGTTTTCGATATTTTTTAGGAGTGGAAGGACCTAAAAAGTTGATAGAAACTACTTTCATCCTGGGAGTGTTAGAAGTGGTGACCAGATGGGGAGAAGACGGAGAACAAAACCCACCATAATCCGACACCTTTCACAATAAACGGCTTGCCACCAGGCCGCTCCCTTCCAAACCTTTTCACCTTGCGTCTAGAGGTGTAAGCAGAAGGGTCAAGCAGCGACGACGACTTTAATCATTAAATTTTTATCCATAGAGGCAGCGCCTGCTAGACTTTAAGTTTTTCTGCACCGGTGGCGGCTTTAACAACCAAAAAAAAACATATTTGCTCTCAAAAGACGAAAAAGTAATTGATCGTATATGTATAGATGGCAACGGCGACAGTACCTTATACTATTATCAAGAATTTTCATTCGTGGTAGCGGCGCAGCGGCTGAACTTGCTTTTTCACAGCGGTGGTTCCTAAAAAATTCTTAAAATTATCTAAGATTCCGCGACGGTGGCGATTTATTTTTCAAACAAATCAGCGGCGGCAACGGCTCAGCCGTACGGCTTACACGGCTACTTGCAACGACATAGTCCGCTTATTATTAATTATTTCACTTTTGCCAAAGAAAGAGAAATGAGGTTTCAAAATTCGATTTCTGTCCAAAATTACCACGAAGCTGTGTAAAAATTGGCAGAAAATCGGACATTTTGGGGAGGGGGGAAGGTT